AAACTTTTTTGGTCGCGCCCCCCTTTAAGCCTATAAAAAAAAATCTGCACCCATTTCCCGAATCCCCATCCCACCTCAGACTACCAAATAATTTCACTAAACATGAAAAATGTATACTTTTTTAATTTAAAAAAACCTACAGGGAAAAAAACACCTGCATCACTTGAAACATTGAAAAATAGCATAGAGAGAATAACTGTTATTATTATTATTCTGTTATTTATTTATTGTGGGTTTCATGCTGTCCGCTAAGGCATAGGACACACAGGCTTTCCTCCTCACCAACGACATTAAACACCGTGTCTACACCAGACGCCAGCGGAAAATACAGTAGAACCCATTATAATCAGTGACACTGTGTACACTGGATGCGATGCTACACGACAAAACCCGACATTAAACTGATGCCTTGTTCTATTTATGTCGTACTGACACAAAGTTAAAATGATTTGCAGCAGTCGCTTTGTCGCGTACAGTGTAGAGTCTGGTATAGACACAGTGAGTGAAGCCGAGAGCAAGATATGCCTCGTCATATTTTCTGCATTTAGCTTATAAATGACCAGCACCTGCCTGGGTCTGTGCGACTTCATCTATGGCTTTTCTCTTCGCTTTCACAAACCGATCCATCTCCCATTCTAAGTTACGTCCTTTGGCTGTTTACCGTTTTATTTCTTTTCTTTTTCTGCTGATGGCCTGCGCTCGACTTGTAGCAACAGTGCTGCTTAGACCAATGGGTGTGTGTCATCAAAGTACTGAGAGAGCTATAAGAGATGACATATAAGGAGACGCTTTCTCTCGCCGTACTTTGATGTCATGCACAGTACACCGATCTGATCTTCAAGTCGAACACACCTCTTTACTCTCGCGTGTCACGTGACCGTGTAATCACAGCCTCTGCGATTTGAAAAATCGCGTTATTTCATATCGCGATATTATCGCAAATGCAATTAATCGTTCAGCCCTAATGCATATATATATATGCACACACAGTCCTGTTCAAAAGTTTGACGTCAGGAAGATTTTTAAATACTTTTATTCAGCAAGGATGCATTCAGTTGGTCAAAAGTGAGCATAACAACTTCGGTTTAATGCTGTTCTTTTGAAATTTCCACTCATCAAAGAATCCTGAAATAAAATGTATTACAGTTTCCAGAAGAATATTAAGCAGCACAATTATTTTCAACATTGATAAAAAAATAAATGTTTCTTGATCAGCGAAACCAGCATATTAGAATGATTTCTGAATGATCATGTGACATTGAAGACTGGAGTAATGACTGCTAAAAATTCAGCTTTGCAATCATAGAAATAAATTACTATTTAAAATAATTCAAATAAAAAGCTATTTTAAATTGCAATATTTCACTGTATTTGCTTTATAATATATATTTTTTACTATATTTTTGACCAAATAAAAGTAGCCATATAATATAACTGTCAAATAGCAATAAACTATTTGAAAGCAAAAAAATCAGAAGTACAATGTGCTCTTGAGCTGTAGACTATAACCAAGTTTGCACTTACCTGTATGAAATGTTTGTCTTTTTAGCAGCAACTGGCTGCCTATGTGTCTTGGGTTAATGCACAGCTGAGAAAGAAGCCTGAACTGAAACCTGTGAGTGATCTACGACAGGATCTCAGAGATGGTGTGGTTTTAGCACACCTCATTGAGATAGTGGGTAAGCCTGTACAATACATCTTATTCCATTTTTATTGCAGCACTGTATAATAAGCCTTTGTATTGAGATGCGTTTTATATATTTGGCAAGCTGGTGAGCTGCTGGATGGCATTCATTATGTGCCACATGACGACCAGGAGAGGAAGCAGAATGTGGAGAAGGTTCTGCAGTTTGTGTCATCCAAACGGATCAGAATGCCTCAGACGTCTGCCAGGGGTGAGTTACAAAGCAGGCTCTTAATCACGGTTAAGCTGATAAAACTACTTATTTAAGATCTACTCTTTCTCTCTGTACTCAAAGACATTGTGGAAGGGAACCTCAAATCCGCCATGAGGCTCATCCTCGCTCTAGCTGCTCATTTTAAACCCTCTGCATCAGCCAGTCACAGAGCTGGAGCTGGCTTAGGCAGGAGTTCCACTGGCTCCTCGACCAATCACAGGCCTCATTCCACCATGGCCATGGCCCAGAATGCAGCAGCAGCATTGGCAGCAGCCAGGCAGGATGCCTCTCGCCCTGGCCGCTCTGTTTTTCATCTAAGGCAAGAATGGAGGTACATGTAGCTTCATTTTGCCCTTAATCTCCTTTTCCTCCTTCAAAAGAGTTTTGTAAATGTTTATTCATTTAAGTAGAACTGCTTCCATAGAGCAACTGCTCTTAAATCTCCTTCTGATTTTAAGAGGGTCCATTAGCTTTGCTTAAAAGATCCAAAAAAAGATTCGTCCAAAAAAACAGTTTTGTCATTTACTGACCCTCATGTGGTTAGATAACTTTGTGGAACAGGCTGGAATAGAAGTCATTATTCGGTGAAAATCCTGACATCCAACCCAGCTCTCATTGGTGCTTTCATTAAAAGTTCATGAGAGAAATAACTATGTCCAGGTTATGAACAAATCGTCTTCTTAAGTTGGGTCTTTCTTAAGATTCATTTGATTCAGTTCACGAAACCGGTGAAATGTTATCAGTGAAAACATAAATTCTGGTCTGTTTGATTTCAAGTATTAGTGCTAGTAGTTCTCCTTTTGTGTTTCAAAGAAGAAATAAAGTCGCATACAGTAAATGATGACCAAATATAACGGATGAATCATTGCCCTCTTGCTGCTGTCAGTTGGAATTGCAGCTCCAATCAGCATATGGATAATCAGATCTGCAAATATAAACATATGTTTCATCCACAATTTAAGATTTTGTGTCCCCCCTAACAATAATCTCTAATGTGCTCTGTTGGAGCTTTTGGAAATATTTTATGTAAGCCTGAAACAGTGCGGAATGATTCAAAATATGTATTCAGAGAAAGTTGTTAACCCATTTAGTTTACACATGAAAAGATCATCCATCCTTGAAACAGCTTTTTACCATTTCTAATCTCTTTGTATTATTTTTTATACTCTCAGTCGTTGCTGCAGTGGTGAGGAGGACGGTGAGAACTCCTGCTGGAGTGTCCGGGAATTGGTTCAGCAGTACGAGGGGCAGAAAGAGACATTTGAAGAGGAGACAGGAGCAAGATCTACTGGGTAAATTCTGAATATTGATGGATAAATAGAATGCAGCTAGTCTCTATATTACTTCAAACAGAATTAACTAATAGTTTGAATATACAGAAGATATTTTAGATCTTCTTTCAAAAGTCATCTTAAAAAATTTAATTGTTGGAGCCAACTTCTTTGGAAAAGCTAATAAAGCTGCAAATGTGAATCGTAACATTTACATAATTCTAAGTACTGAAAGAAATAAGATAATGAGAAATTGGACAGTTTCAAAATGAATATTTAAGATGCATTATAAGTATTTAATCAAAATCACTAAACAAAACATGAGTGAAAATGCATATAAATAGACAAAAAGATGCTGATGTAGATATAAGGGACCCTCTAACTCTAACACTTTCTATTCTATTTTAATTCTACTTCTAATTGTACTTTATCTATATTTATCTTTTTTTATTTTATTTTTATTTAAAAAAAAACACTAGCTTTCTATTTTTTCTATTCTATCTACTTGTTTTTCTTTGTGTGTGTGTGTGTGTGTATAATATATGTATATATATATATATATATACACCTTGCTACGTGTACTGTGTTAGCCTAACCGAGACTTGTCATTTGCACTTATATATTGTTGCTCTTTTGTTAGTTTTGACTGCTTTTATTGTCCTCATTTGTAAGTCACTTTGGATAAGAGCGTCTGCTAAATGACTAAATGTAAATATAAGCTTGTAAGTTAAGAATGCATCTGTGAATAATTTGCTTCAGTTTTGCAAAACAGCTCTTGGAACCAATCAGTTTGTCATTGCAGGGTGTCATCGGTTTTCACCCCATCTCTTAGTTACAAAATATACACAAACATGTTATCACAAACTTCTTCTTCATTCTCTCTGCTTTTATGAAAGTAGAACACATAGATAGGCTGGAGGAGGCTGTCACAAGGATTTTCTCACTGCTTGTTTTGTAAGGCCTGAGATTTTCCTGCCCACTGGCTTTCTTTAAGGCATCATCATGCTTTGCCACTGAAGACCAGAAAACGTGTGACTGTTCTTTTATGTGAGGCATCAGCTATGATTCTATTTGGAAGAGCTGATTCAGTACCTTGATTATCCAAAGGAACATAATTTGTACACTTAGTCATTCATTCTTGTTTTGCAGATTTTGAAATGTCTTTAAAAGTGTTATGTAAGAAACCATTCTTGGACCTTGTCAGGTCAGTGACTTGGACTGAAATTAAGAGGCATTTGATCAGTGTTAACTTGACAGATCTGGATAGATCACTGCCCTGAAGGTTAGGTAAGAGGCACTCACAGTGGTTATAAGGGTCAATACTCAAGATGAGGATACATTTGTGTCATGCTTAAACTTAAATGCTTTTATAAATTGTTCAAATTTTTATTGACCATTTAATGTATAGATTGTAAGGAGAACAATTGACGATCTCACTATAGTGATTCTCAGCAGATTGTTCTTTATTTTCTTACGAGGTTGGTATTTCTGATACCGCTGCAATCCATATACACAGAACAGTTTTTTTTCTGCCATGATAGACAGCATTTTGTTTGCATTGTGCATATGTTGTCCATCTTTATTGATTTGCACAGTGATCATTTTAGATTTCCATTCTGCTTTGCCATCACAGGAATAAATGACATTTTAAAATATATTAAAAAGGAAAACAGATCTTTTAAACTGTAGTAATATTTCACAATATTTTTGTTTCTGAAATTTATGGTCTATGGATGAATAAACGTGGTGCAGAGGGCTAGAGAGTTTCTAGAGAGTGCCGAAATGGGAGCCAAACAAATCAAATGGTAAGACACTATTGCAGCATATTTGTGATGTTTTAAAGGAATAGTTAATTTACTCACCCTTATGTTGCTCCAGAATACTTATTGTCTTTATTTCGTATGTGGAACATGAAGATATTTTGAGATGTCTCTGTTTTTTGTCCATACAATAGAAGTTAATAGTCAAAAAACTGTTTGGTTACCACATTATCTTCCAAAATATCTTAAATATCTTTTGTGTTCCGCAGAATACAGGTTTATAACTATTTAAGGGTGAGTAAATGATGACATAATTTGAATTTTTTGGTAAATTGTCCCTTCAATAAACACCGTGACAAGCACATTTGCAAGTATTTTTAGCAATTTATATATATATATATATATTATACTGTATATTTTTATTAAAGTCAAGTTTGACTAATAGATTTCACTCACCAACTCAATTTTACTGATGCTGTCCTATGCTTCTCAGTATAAGGTTCACATTGACAGCCATTAGAAGCAAAAAAAGCTAACAGAATTCATTTATTAGGAGTTGGCAGGCTGAGGTGACGAAAGCCTGTGGCTGTGAATGACAGCTGTGACTTGTTTAGAGGATCTGACCCAATTTACTTTTCTACTGTAGCTCACATACAAGATTTTGAATCATGTTTTCTACTGTCTTCAGTGCCACCTGTGCTGTGCTTTAGGATCTAATTTTGTGTCATTGGCATCTGTCATTGACACACAGCACAATATTTCACTCAGTCAGACACTTTGAAGTGCCTTGAATGCATATGGATTTGACAAGAAATCTAGGAAGAATATTTCTCTCACACCAACTTTCAATATCAAGCAGCAAAACGAACTGTTTTGTTCAGCTAAAAATAGCTGGACGGAGTGGACGCAGATGAGACCGGAAGCCAGACCCATATAATTTGCAAATGGCCGCGCCCATTTTTACGACAAGAAAAAGGTGGATAGTTATCATTCTTGGTGTAAACGGGCCTTAGTGTCTTGTGAATGGTGCTTGCTAAGCATCACTTACTTTTCATCGTACTTTTAAAACACCACCTAACCTAAGTATTAAACATCCATGTGCAACCTGTTCTGGACTTTAATGTAGAGGTCCCCAACCACCGGGTCGCGACCCACTACCGGGCCATTGAAGAATTGCTACCGGGTCGCAAGAACGTTCTGGGAAAAATGTGTATAGATATGACACTCTGTTATTTATTTATGTTAATGATTGTTCTAATTATTCTGTATTTTCTTTGTATGCGATTGATATGGAGTAGCAATTTGACAATTTCATGTTAAATAAGTAAATGAAAGATTGCTCTGATCTGTCACATATTAGGAGTTAAAGGGGTCATAAGATGCGATTTTCAATTTTTACTTTCTCTTTGGAGTGTTACAAGCTCTTGGTGCATAAAGAAGATCTGTAAAGTTGCAAAGACTAAAGTCTCAAATCCAAAGAGGTATTCTTTATAAAAGTTAAGAGTCAACCACGCCTACCTAAAACGGCTCGTTCTAACACGCCCCCACATGTCTATGTCATGATGTGGGAAGATTTGCATAATACCGCCCAAATGTTCACGCAAAGAAAGAAGGTGTAACTTTTATTCTCACTGTAGTATTGTTGTTGCCATCACCGCCATGCCAATAATGTACAGTATGTGTTTTTTGAACCTTAAACCGCATAAACACATTTCATTACACCAAATACACAAAATAATGTTCTTTTTAGCAACATCATATGACCCCTTTAAACGGATCACAGTTGATCCGTAATATGTACGGATGAGACCCTACCGTTCGGCAGGCACGTGATTCGCAGATTAAGTTGCCAATTTACACGTACAAGCAATTTTAAACCACAAGAAGAAGAAACGATAGAGAGCTCAATTCGTTACTCACGCGCTGTTCTCACACACAATCAAAGCGTGCATAAACATAGAGACGTGTTTCAGACAGCGCGGAATTACGTTGTTGCCTATACATACACATAAAATTAGCCTGTCAAAAACCCTTCACGGAATTGTCATTCTCTGTGCTTTAAATTTTCTTGCTTATCTGAAAAAATAGTCCGATCTGTGACTCAAAAAATAAAAAAACACCATAAAATGCGTTGAACCACTTTATAATGCTGTTATAATATTATATAATAGCCTAATATACTGTATATATACAGCCGGTCCGCGAGAATATATTCCAAACGTAACCGGTCTGTGGTGTTAAAAAGGTTGGAGACCCCTCCTTTAATGGATGCACAATACATATATCAGTACTATGTTTTAAAATTGATCTGTATTGCCTGGTACTGGATATTTAATTGTGCATGCTCATTTCTGCTGTTTTTACATTTACACCGTCATCTAACACTCACTTGAAGTTAATTTCTAAAAACACTAATGATGTAATGTTTTAATGTAATGTAATCTTTTGCAAATGAATGTTCTTTTATGTAATGTCACTGGTAGCATTTAAAATGATTATTTTTTGTGTTTTATTTGTAATTTATTTAGACAAAATAATATGTGACCCTGGACCACAAAACCAGTCATAAGGGTCAATATTTCAAAATTGAGATTTATACGTCATCTGAAAGCTGAATAAATAAACTTTCCATTGATGTATGGTTTGTTAGGATTGGGAAATATTTGGCCAAGAAATAACTATTTGAAAATCTGGAATCTGAGGGTGCAAAAAAATCTAAATATTGAGAAAATTGCCTTTAAAGTTGTCCAAATTAAGTTCTTAGCAATGCATATTACTAAACAAAAATGTAGTTTTAATATATTTACAGTAGGAAATTTACAAAATATTTTCATGGAACATGATCTTTAATTGATTAATCTCTCCTAATGATTTTTGGCATAAAAGAAAAATCTATAATTTTGACCCATAAAATTTATTTTTGGCTATTGCTACAAATATACCCCAGCGACTTAAGGCAACCACCCTAGAATTGTCAGGAAAAGTACAAATGTATTTTTATTTTCTTGTTGGTACTGTCTTTTTAATAAACCCTTTAGTTTAAGTCTTATGTTGTATGTTGAAGTAGCTGTTTCACATCAATACACACATTGTTTTTAGAGTCTTGTTTTGAGAACAGTGGTTCAAAGATCAGTACAAAACTCTTAATAAATAGTGAGGGATTTTTCCAGTTTAGATCACATGAGTTTCAGTTTACTCTGTATCCATCTATAAATTGATGTTTTTCTTTGGCAAATGCAGCACTGAAAAGAGAAAGAAACGGTGTGGAGTACTGAACTGAATAAGTGAGGGTCTTTAGTGTCTGTGTGGGTCACAATCAGGAGGGGGCTGGATTTGGTTTTGAAAGAGAACAGTCCCCTCCTTCCCCCTCCCCACAACGTGAGAAAAATAAAACAAAGAGAGTAATGTGGAGTGCGACAGGCCGTCTCTTTCAGGATCTCTGCGGTCCGCAGCCTGGATTAGGACAATGAGAGCCAGCACAACATACACTCTAAACAAAAAAGAAAAAATAACAAGTGCGCTGTTTCTTTCGAGAAGAAGCATTGTTGCTTTGTTAAAACGACAGCCTTGGCATTTTGTCTTCATCCATCACACACAGAACACAAATCATTTGCAGAGCTCAAAAAAGTTTGGAGATTTCCAGGCATGATATGCTTCGCCGGTTTTTTTTTTTCCCACTGCACCAAATCCACACAATGCAAATTGACTTGGGAAACCTCAGGCCTTAATCTGTCTGAAAATAAACATGAATCCTCCAAAGGTCACCCAGGCGAGATCCATTCGCTCTGTGTGTTGGTGGAAATGTCACTGTAACTGAATGGAACCAATGAGGTGGATGGGATTTATTCCCCAATATAAGTCCAGCATTGATAATGACAGCATCGTCACACTCTGTCTAATCTGAAGGTCATTTGTGTCAAAGGGTGCAGGACTGTCCTTTCATTTTTGTGACTTAGTTTGGAGAGCAACTGATGCGGGAGGGTTAAAATTTGCATGCCTCATGATAGTAGACCGAGAAGGAGTGAGGTTGTAAGAGCTGCAAGCTTGTGCTGTCCCCTCACAGACAGGTCTGCCAGGGCTGCACTTGGATTGACCCATCATGGGCTGAGTTTAAATCCGTATCCTACGCTCCAGGGCCTGAAAGACATTGTGGTGCCAGGCCTTCACTCTTCCACTTGTTTAATGCATGTGGAAAACTGAAACTGACAGAAATATACTCTCTATTCATAGTTTCCCCAATTTCCTACCATACAATACTTACATATTTGCAAATAAATAATCCGTTAAGGTGCACATTAGCGAAATTTCGTGTTGGAAAAAAAAAACATTTTCCATTGTTAATAGTGAATTCTCACAGAGAAGTCACATTCAAACCAAGCAGCTTTCTGTTGTTCAGTGCTGCAAATTCATGTGATCAATTTGAATATGAGCAAAATCTGAATGGGGAATTTTTTTTGCCTTCAAGCAAACCACTGATCACATGGATTTCAATTGAAATGATTGGAATTCACCAGTGAAATTCCGCAGAGCAACAGTAAATATGACAATCTGATGCCACAAACAAATTCGCTTATCTTAAATCTTTAGACCATCTATGGCTGTGTTTATAGAAACCAATATACTGGTCTGGAATTTTTAGCGTAATATTAAAGAGTTAGTTCACCCAAAAATAAAAATTCTGTCATCAATCACTCAGCCTCATGTCGTTTCAAACCCATAAGACACTTCATTTTCAAAACACAAATAAAAATATTTTTAATGAAACATAAAATTTCTGTCCCTCCATTGAAAGTCCGTTACTCTAAAACTTTGACACTTCACAGAGTTCATAAAGACATTGTAAATAATGCAAATATAATAACTGGAAACTCAGATGTGCTTGTTTGATGTGCAAGTATGGTTTAGTTTCTATTTTACCATATTTAATGTGCTCTTTGTTTATACGGTATGCGAATAAACACTAAACTAAATATTTTCTTTACATAAAACAACTGTCCCACCTCAGGAGACTTGGATTAAACCTAAATTTACGTGAAATGATTTTACAATGTTTTTATAGAATTTTTTGAAGCAAATGTGTCATTGAAGCGCCTGTATTTTTAATACTGTATATTTAAGAACACATGTTTGACACCGATACAGAAATGCTGTATTGTAATTTTCAAATTGAAGGTGTTATCATTTCCATGCATGCAAGAAATTGGCTCATAAGCCTGTGCCTTTGAAACGGATTAACTGTGTATTATTGATAGGGAATCAGATCAAACACAAGAGCAGATCCTGACAGACTTGGCTGTTCATATCTGCAAAGGGTCTCCATGGTAACTGGTTTTAAAAGGCACTTTCCTCCTGTGCTTCAGGACTGTTTATTTTTATCTAGCTCTGCCTTTCTGAGAAACCAGATGCAGCACCTGATAAACATAAACAAAAGCGTCTGTCTTTGTGATATTGTAACTCACTCTTGGAACACCTCCATGATAATTCTGCAATAAGTGGAATTCATTTAAAGGGATGTTCAAACAAAAAAGCTTTTTGTCATCATTTACTGAGCCTCATGTTGTTCCAAACTCGTAGAAGGGAGTGCACGCTGCACTTTGCCTATACAAGGTATACAATTTTTCAGTCTGTACTCTGTAACCTGTAATGGAGCGTATTAACTTCTTTTATGACAATTTTATGCAATTGTTTGCTTGCTTGGTGGTTGTTGTTGTTGTTGTTGTTTTTTTCCTGAGGTCAATTTATTTGTTGTTGTATAGAACAAAACAGTGTAAACATTCTTCAAAATATCTTAAATGAAGTCATCTTATATAAAGTTGTACAGGTTTGGAACAACATGAGGGGGAGTAAATAATGAAAACTGTTCTTGTAAGTGTTTTGTATGGATTAGAAATTATAGTCAAATGTATTTTTTAAAGCACAATTAAAATATACTGTTAGGATGAGCCAGAAACTATTTAATTTAATTTAATTAAAAAAATTAATGGAGACAAAAATGTATATAAATAGACAAAATTTGACTTTAACTGTAAAGTTTATCTATACATCAGTACATCAGTAAATTTAATATAATTTAATTAATGAGAAAACAAATAGCAAATATATATAAATAAAATAAAAAAATATACAGCACAATAAAAAGCCGTGTGTTAGACTAACGTTGACTTGACTGTAAAGTTTAGCCCAACATCAATAACTGTATGTTTTTGGTGTATTTTCACAGCCTCAGTTCACCGAGCCCCACCCACACTCCCAAAGACTCTGTCAGCCTATCAGACCTGAAGGCAGGACTATTAGACACTTTGTCCAGGGAGAAAATTAAGTCAGGTATTGATTCCTATCAGTCAATCATCTGGACATCGATGGTCTCATCCACATACAACACTCATGAGCTATCTCTGTTTACCATTAGAGGACACAGTGAAATTGGCCCTGTGTGACCAGGCCATTGTCTCAGGGCATGATGGTCTAGCTGGTGGCTGCACCTGGGAGGACAAACTGTGTGAGCAGCAGGAGCAGCTGGAGAGGGAGATGCAGGAGGCACGGAATATGGTGTCTAGCCTACAGGTGACACTAACATATATCATCTCCTAATTTAGTTTGAATTGCTTATAGGGAGCTTGTGGCGTTTAACAGATGTTTTTGTGTGTTTTATAGGCCCTCCTTCTCCACGGTTCATTACCTGAGGATGAGCAGGAGGTGTTGCTCAGTCTGGGTGAGGGAGTTGAAAATGCAGAGCAGCAACTGGTGCGTATTTTTATTTCTGTCACGGTTTTGTTACCCCAAATTGGCCCCTTCCATATCCTGCATATCCCTCGCTCTTGATAATATGTGACTTCCTATGCCCCTCCCTCCCCCCCATCTCTATCATTCTCTCCTGCTCTTTCACTAAGTTCTGTCAGGGCAGATCATGTTACTCTCACAGTGAACTTTGCTTTGTTTGTGGAAGAGACGCAGGTATCGGTTTCTCTCCTTCTCTCCTACAGTGTCTGTTTCTCTCTTCCATTTCTTTTCTGTTTTCTGTAAATTTGTCGTGTAAACCAGTTCCTTCTCTGTTTAGCGTAATAAGTGTGCTGTAGTTATGGTGGTTTTGTTCTGAAGGAGCAAAAAGAAAACAACCTTGTTGTTGTGCTACAGGTTGTAATACGAAGTCGCCTGGACCAGAGCATGGCGGAGAGTCAAGAACTAAAGGTGGGCATTCACAGTGTTTTTGTTCTTGGCTGGGCTTTTTTGAGAACTTAATTATTTTATTCATCAAGGACGTATTAAGTGTAAAAGAATTATACTTAAAATAAATTCTGTTATTTTGAACTTTCTATTAACCAAATAATTTTGGGGGGGAAAAAATCACGGTTTCCACAAAGATATTAGGAATATTTTTTCAACATTGATAATAATATGAAATGTTTCTTGAGCTCCAAATTAGCATATTAGAATGATTTCTGAATGATCATGTGACAGTGAAGACTGTGATGGCTGCTAAATTTCAGCTTTGCTATTGCAGGAATAAATAACATTTTAAAATATAGTAAAATAGAATACATACTTTGAATTGTAATATTATGTATTGTTGTAATATTATGAACAATAATATATATATATATATACACACACACACAGTGGATATCAAAATTAGAGAACACCCTATAATTTCCAAGGTCACTGCTTAGTCCTATTTGAAGTTATCCTAATAGGAGTAGAAGGGCAGTTTTTTTAAAGCATATTTTATCAATTAATTGTATTCTGAAGCACAGTATAAAAAAACTTAAATGAGATATTTGAAAAAGAACTCTGATCAAAATTAGAGAACACTAACAGATACCTCCAAGTTATTGGTGTTAATCTGCCACCTGGAGCTAATTTCCTTAATTATATGACAAACCCTATTTAACTGGCAGCAGTCCTCCCGTTTTCACTGAGATTGCAAGATGGCAGGCCGCTCTAAGGTGACTGACACCCTGCAACAGGAGCTTGTCCAGATGAAGTCTAAAGGGATGAATGACCCTTTCAGTCAGTGCAAGAGAAGTTGGTCGAGAAATTGATCTGACAGAACAAACTATGTAGTTACTACTATGTATGTGCTGATCTTGTCAAGTCCTGATACCTCCAAGTTATTGGTGTTAATCTGCCACCTGGAGCTAATTTCCTTAATTATATGACAAACCCTATTTAACTGGCAGCAGTCCTCCAGTTTTCACTGAGATTGCAAGATGGCAGGCCACTCTAAGGTGACTGACACCCTGCAACAGGAGCTTGTCCAGATGAAGTCTAAAGGGATGAATGACCCTTTCAGCCAGTGCAAGAGAAGTTGGTCGAGAAATTGATCTGACAGAACAAACTATGTAGTTACTACTATGTATGTGCTGATCTTGTCAAGTCCTGATTTTTTTTTTATAACCAATTCATGCTGTAAAGTCTGAGTTTTTCTTATTTATATTATATTTACATGCAGAGGGAGCTGTTGAGGTTCAAACAGGAGGCTCGCAACCTGCAGGGAGTGAAAGTAAGTCTTGCATACCTCCAAACTCCACATGCTTATGAAATAAGACCCTCACACTTACATAATGAAGAATTTAACTTATTTATATTTCAGACTAATATAAACAAGTTAGATATGTGAGTTGAGATTGATTAACCCCCTCCTGTCTCATCAGGATGCTCTTCAGCAGCGAATGGCTGTGCAGGAGTCCTCAGTCCTGCAGCTCAAACAGGAACTCCTGCGCACCAGTATGGCCAAAGATGAGCTGGCGGGACAAAGTGTGAGCGCATGCAACTGAGACCTGACATTTTTTTCTTTATGCTATGCATATTAATTTCGTTTCAGCTATAGTAAATCTGAGACCAGTTGTCAGTTATCTGTGTATATTTTCTCAGGCCGAGCTACAGAGGAAGCTAGAGGAGAGGAACAGACTTCTTAGCGAATATAAGGCATGTCATGTTTATTAAAAGCATTTTACCATAATAATATGTATTCTAATTCTACTGTTCATTAGTGTGTTTTCAGTTGTTTTTATATAAATTATAGTGTTTTCTAGTTCTATTGATATTTAGTGGTTATTAATGTTTAAAGTTGCAACCTTAATTGAGATCCTTGTTGTTTATGTGTCAGATTATATTCATTTGTTCTGATTGCTAAATGAATAAAGTAAACTATTATCTGATAGTTATACATTTAGAAATATATTACTTTTAAGCTTCAATCTTGTTACTAGTTTTTATTAGTAGCTTGTAGTGAAGCTAACTTATTTTTCAAAAGGTTATCTTGACTAGTTGTACTTTAAAGTAGGAGTAGATTGTATCTTAAAAAGCGATAATGTAGTATCACCCACATTAAAGAATGCTTTTTCTAATCAAATGCTGATTTTCATAATAAAGCTTTGCTAGTTATACCACATCTTTTCCTATAACAAATGTAAACTTACAGAAAGAACTAGGCCAAAAGGATCGACTTCTGCAGCAGCAACAGCTGAAGCTGGATGAAAAGTCCTGTACTTTACTGACCGTTCCCTCACGCCATTCATGATCAACATCCCCAAGAGGTCAGTCAGACTCTGTTACACATATATCTGGCTTGAGTGGATGTTCAGCCTTAAATCACTATAATGTGGTATACTTTAGATATGTGCTATGAAATATTTCATTGTCTTATGTCAACAGGCTTGGGGAGGTCACCCTGCGAGACTTCAAGGCTGCTGTAGATCGGGAAGGCAATTATCGGTACCATTTTAAAGCGCTGGATCCAGAGTTCGGCACTGTGAAGGAAGAGGTATCGCCACATAATCAGTCAACAGGATATTTTCTTTATATATTCAAGCATCTAAATCAGTGGTTCTCAACCAGAAGGCCAGGGCCCATTAGGGGGCCGCAGCAAACTTTCAATTACGTAGGGGGTCTTTGAATGTTGTTTTTGAAAAGAGGGGACTTTTAAGTTAAAAATGCTGAGAAACACTGAGCTAAATTAAATCTAAATAAAATTTTACATATATTGTGTAATGTATAAAAAGGACCTATGGCTTCTCCCAGGTGTTCCAGGATGAGGCAGTGGTGCCTGGCTGGGAAGGGAAGATCGTAGCCTGGGTAGAAGAGGATCATGGGCAAAGAGGGTACTACATGCATCCATACAGCTGGTAGCACATCCGTTTCTCACCATTTTAAGCTCAATCTCTCCATTTTCCTCGACAGGACCTAACACAAGTCAGCAAGAAGAAAGAGAGACATCTGTGCCAAAATGAAATAACATTGATTTGTAACTCAAGTGTACAGAGGATGGAGCTTTAGTGCCCTAAAAAGTCCCACCCTCCTTTACTCTATCCTGCATGAGCTGAACAGCTGAATGCACCTGAAAGGACTTGGAGGATCATCATCAGGAGGATCACCAGAAATGATAGAGTCCCATCTTCTGTCCTGTCTACCCTTGAGTAAATCTGAAATTAAAGGTTTAATTAAAGTAGCTGTCAGAAAGATATGGCAAGAGAGATGGGATAAAGGTAACAAAGGGGCGACATTTGTATGATATAAATAAACAAGAAGGACAAGTAAGAACTGCTTATGGTAATAGAAGGGATGATACAGTTATATCTCGATTGAGAATTGGACACTCTACTCTTAATAAATCACTCCAGATGATAGGAAGACATGAATCTGGTCAATGTAATCATTGTGGACTTCCATAAACTGTAGAGCATGTGCTGATTAACTGTAGGGCATATGAAAGGGAAAGAATACAGTTAAAAGAGGAATTAAAATCTGACGGCATTAATTCTATGACATTACAGAATGTGTTAAACAGTTCCCATAAAGGTTATAAAGCTCTTATTAATTTTCTGAAAATAACAAATTTATATAATAAAATATAGGTAGAAGGTTTTATTTTATTTTATTTTATTTTTTTGTTGAAAATTAGCATTTCCCTTGACATCAGCGCCTCACACACCTCCCAGTAGGTGGCGGAATATGCACCAAAAGCCGGTTTGCCAACCGCTGTTAAACATCATAAGAAGAAGAAGATCCATTCTGCTACGCCATGATCACTTCGAGAGTGTAGAATGTCTGTTAGCAGTTCACCGCTCCAGGTCGTTAGATGGCGCTGATGTACTTGATCAGAAAAGCTCACTGCGAGTGCGAGCAAAACATCTCGCGAAGTAAACGTTCACGCCACACGACACGTGTTGTTACGGCGTTACACACTACCTAGTCAACGAAACAGTGAAGATGCGGGAGAAAAAGAGTAAAGAGGAGACACAGATAACCGATGACCCTGTGAAGAATTTTGAGAAATGGAAAAGGAAATACAACAAAACAAAGAAAATAGTCAAACGAGTTCAAAAGACCACTAAGAAACGCGACTGGGAGGTGGAGAGAGAAAACATACAGAAGCTGGTGAAGAAATACTCGGAGGTGAGATATCATGAGGCTGATATTACAAAGCACGTTTGACGTCTCGTACAGTTCTTGTTTCTAGGGGTTGCCACGTGTTTACGTACATGGTACGCAGCTGTTGGCTTGACAGATCAGTCACGCGAATAACTGCGTCTTTTGACATTTCAAAGCAATGTTTACAAGCACATATTTTACTAGTCTTTTGGATATTGTGTGACACGCATCACATGCTTGAGGTGTTGCTGATGATCAGAAAGTGTGTCAGCACAGGTCTTTACATAAACATACTGTTTTGTATTGTTGGTGGTCAGTGGTTCTTGAGTCCTGGGACAGAACAGGCCACATAACAGATATAAAAGTTTACATATCAAGGATAAATATTGGATTCATTTGATTCGGCAAGTTAAGTAATCAGACGTGTTGCAGTGTTCTGCATCTTCCATTTTAGATGGTGGTGTTGTTGAGATTTATAATAGTCCTGATATCCTTCATTAGACACCTAACTTAATCCATCTTAAAACATGCCACTTGATTTTCCTGTGAAGGCTTTGACCCCAGTAACTGTTTTCCTAGATCAATCCCAAAGAGGCTGTGAAGTTTTCTGATTTTCCACTCTCAAAAAAGACTCTGAAAGGTGGGCAGTCTTGATTATTTGCATGTTAGTAAGTTCACTTGTATCTTCTTAATCTTAATGATGATCTTGTTCATGTCATCAGGTCTTCTTGAGGCTCAGTACAGGCAGCCCACGGAGATTCAGAGGCAGACGATTGGCTTTACTTTGCAAGGGAGAGATGTTCTTGGTGCTGCAAAGACAGGCTCTGGAAAGACTTTGGCCTTCCTCATCCCGGTAAGCAATAGAGCAGTGATGACATGTTTTTGCATCACCCTGGTTCTCTTGACAAAAAGCCATCAGTAATAGGTTTTTGGCCAAAAACCCTTTCAGAAACCCCATTGAATTCAGGATGATGGAACCGAAAGTGCTAAAATGTTAACTTATTCCCAGGTTTTGGCCTACACAAATATATCATCCCTGCAGCACTCTATACACTTCTGAGGTTTGTTGTAGTTTAAACTCAGTAACATTTTTCTGTCAAGAGGATTAGTGATTTGACAATGACAAGATTGTATTTTTTTGTTCTGTTTTATATTTATGTCAGTACGTAATATTTACAATATGTGACCCTGGACCACAAAACCAGTCATAAGGGTCAATTTTTCTGAAATTGAGATTTATACATAATCCGAAAGCTTATATAAGCTTTTCAATAAGCTTTCCAGTGATGTATGGTTTGTTAGGATAGGACAATATTTGGCTGAGATACAACTATTTGAAAATCTGGAATCTGAGGGTGCAAAAAAATCTAAATATTGAGAAAATCGCCTTCGAAGTTGTCCAAATGATGTTCTTAGCAATGCATATTACTAATCAAACATTAAGTTTTGATATATTTACGGTAGGAAATTTACAAAATATCTTCATGGAACATGATCTTTACTTAATATCCTAATGATTTTTGGCATAAAAGAAAAATTTATCATTTTGACCCATACAATGTTTTTTTTGGCTATTGTTAAAAATATACCCCAGCGACTTAAGAAAGGTTTTGTGCTCCAGGGTCACATGATGTAGATTGATATTATGTATGTTATATTTATGTAAATATGTAATGAACCTTTTAGAGCAACATTGGGGTGAGTAAATGATGGCAGACTTGATGATACTCTTTTACTGTTAAATTTTCAATCTGTTGTGTTTTTCAAACTTCAAACATAATTTTGAAGCCTCTCTAATGCACTGTGACTGTCTCCAGATTTTGGAGTGCTTGTATCGTGAACAATGGACTGCGATGGATGGCCTCGGCGCTCTCATCATCTCTCCCACCAGAGAGCTGGCCTACCAGACCTATGAGGTGCTGAGGAAGGTCGGCAAGAACCATGAGTTTTCTGCCGGTCTTGTAATTGGTGGAAAGGTGTGTCTCTCTAGTCTTTAGTGATTAGTATGGTTCTTGCATATTTTTTTTTGTCAAGGTTTTTATTGTGTAGTAATTGGTTATTCTTTTTCAATGACTGCAGGATCTGAAAGATGAATCAGAAAAGATCCATCGGACAAATATCATTATCTGCACGCCAGGACGTCTGCTGCAGCACATGGACGAGACGGCAACCTTTCATGCTTCAAATCTGCACATGCTAGGTAGGATGGTGCTTAGAAAATGTTTTAAATACAACGTTCAAACGTTCAAACGTTTGGGGTCAGTAAGATTTTTGTTTTGTTTTTGAAAGAAATCTGCATTTATTTGATCAAAAATACACTAAATATGGTTAAGGATTACAAAGAACTTTTTCTATTTTAATATATTTTAAAAGGTAATTTATTCCTGTGATGCCAAGCATAATTTTCAGCAGCCATTACTCCAGTTTTCAGTGTCTCGTGATCCATCAGAAATCATTCTAATTTGCTGATTTGGTGCTCAAGGTCAATTTCTTATTATTATAAATTTTGAAAACAGTTGTTCTGCTTAGTATTTTTATGGAAATTGTGGTACATTTTTGTCAGAATTCGTCAGTGAATAGAATTTTACTGACCCCAGATTTTTGAACAGTGGTTCATACCTGTTTACTTTTCTTATTTTCATCGCGTTACTTTAAATAACATGACGTACTTCCTCTTCCATGGCAGTACTTGATGAGGCCGACAGAATTCTGGACATGGGTTTCACCGACACACTCAACGCCATTGTTGAAAACCTTCCGACAACACGGCAGACCCTTCTCTTCTCTGCCACTCAAACCAGGTCTGTCAGAGATCTGGCCAGACTGAGCCTGAAGAACCCAGAGTATGTGTGGGTCCATGAGCAGGCCAAGTTCAGGTAAGATCATGATTTTATAGTGATTTGTGTTGGGCATCTGTGTTAGTGAGCCTGCTCTTAAAGAGATAGTTAACCCTAAATTGAAAATTGTGTCACCATTTACTCAATGTTGTTCCAAACCTTTATTAATTTCTTTCTTCTTTTGAACACACACACACAAAGGAAGATGTTGGTAACCAATGTTCCCTCTCATTTATTTTTTCTTGCTGAGCAAAACTTTTCTCTGTTGGGTGGACATTTCATACACCTGAGCAAAAACATTCTTCACACCTGTACAGCACACATACACAAAAATGTGTAACTTTTAACTTTAATGTGCTGTTTATATTTGATTTGACCCTTGATGTCCCTTACAAAAATTAACCACGTTCCCTTTTTGAGTTCAGTTATTTATTAGGCTTATAATATAATATAATATAATATAAAAACAAACTGAGTCATTTAAACTGAGATCTGTAAGCTAAAATTTTCAAAGAACATGAACATGTGAATTCTTATATATCTTGTTAAGTAAATATGTTATCTAAACATCCCGATGTACTCGAATTTGCACACTACTACACCTGTGTGTGACTGTAAATGTCTCGTAGTTTTGTTATCGTTCTGTGCCCATCATCCGTTATTTATTTCCACCACTCAATCAAGCCACTCTTCTTTAAAACATGATGGCATTTTATTTCACATGTCATTTTGTTCGTTGGCTCTCTTGTTGAGCTATTTCGTCTGCAGCCATTAAAGTATTTGGCGCACATCATTCTCTTTCTATGAAACCTGTAAACCATATTCACCGGTTCTAACTCTATAGTGGTTTGCCCGAGCACTGCAGTTATTTTGCATTTACTAGAATTCAATCAAATGACTTTTTGCGTGTGTCCTGTGTGCAGCTTAGAGGGAACATTGTCGGTAACCAAACAGTTGCCTGTACTCACTGACTTCCATAGTATGGAAAAAAGTCTATGAAAGTCATTGGCTACCAGCAACTGTTTGGTTACCAACATTCTTTAAAATGTCGTCTTACTTTTTTGGGTGATCAATACCTTTAATGTCAGTGGATTTTAACATCATAGACATGAAACTCTTAAACACTGATCTTCTCTGCAGTACTCCAGCGACTCTGGAACAGAACTATGTGGTGTGTGAGCTGCATCAGAAAGTCAACATGCTCTTCTCGTTTATGAGGAGTCACCTTAAGAAGAAGATCATAGTCTTTTTTGCCTGCTGCAAAGAGGTAACAGCTCAAACAGTTTCTTTTCTGTAGTACATCTCAGTGTCTGTTTTCATAGAATGCAGTGTGGTTGAAAAGTCTGAAACCACAAGTAAAATGTATATAATATATACATTTTTTTAAAAACAAAATTAGAATTAAACAGTAATTTTTTTATTTCAGATGGTATTATGAACATTTTTTATTGTTTAATTGTTTAGACTTTTAATTAAAAATAACCTAAATCTGTACATTTTTCTTGAGTCTCTTATGCTCACCAAGATTGCATTTAGTTCAGAAATTTATTTTTGCATTTAGATCAAAAATACACTTAAAAACAGTAACATTTTGAAATATTGTTTTAATTTACCCGAGCACTGCAGTTATTTTGCATTTACTAGAATTCAATCAAATGACTTTTTGCGTGTGTCCTGTGTGCAGCTTAGAGGGAACATTGTCGGTAACCAAACAGTTGCCTGTACTCACTGACTTCCATAGTATGGAAAAAAGTCTATGAAAGTCATTGGCTACCAGCAACTGTTTGGTTACCAACATTCTTTAAAATGTCGTCTTACTTTTTTGGGTGATCAATACCTTTAATGTCAGTGGATTTTAACATCATAGACATGAAACTCTTAAACACTGATCTTCTCTGCAGTACTCCAGCGACTCTGGAACAGAACTATGTGGTGTGTGAGCTGCATCAGAAAGTCAACATGCTCTTCTCGTTTATGAGGAGTCACCTTAAGAAGAAGATCATAGTCTTTTTTGCCTGCTGCAAAGAGGTAACAGCTCAAACAGTTTCTTTTCTGTAGTACATCTCAATGTCTGTTTTCATAGAATGCAGTGTGGTTGAAAAGTCTGAAACCACAAGTAAAATGTATATAATATATACATTTTTTTAAAAACAAAATTAGAATTAAACAGTAATTTTTTTTATTTCAGATGGTATTATGAACATTTTTTATTGTTTAATTGTTTAGACTTTTAATTAAAAATAACCTAAATCTGTACATTTTTCTTGAGTCTCTTATGCTCACCAAGATTGCATTTAGTTCAGAAATTTATTTTTGCATTTAGATCAAAAATACACTTAAAAACAGTAACATTTTGAAATATTATTTTAATTTACAACAACTTTAAAATGTAATTTCTGTGATGGCAAAGCTGAATTTTCAGATGTCTTCAGATGTCACATGATCCTTTAGAAATCATTCAATATACTGATTTGATGCTAAAGAAACATTTTGTATTATTATTATTATTATTATTTCTTATTACTTTTTCTTATTATGATCTTATGTTGAAAAAAGTTGTGCTGCTTAATATTTTTGGAAACTGTGATATTTTTTAGGATCATTTGATGAATAGAAAGTTGACAACAACAATAATAACATTTATTTAAAGGGGTTTTTTTTGGAACAAATGTATTAACTGTTTTAAACTGTGCATGCATGCGGAATAAAAGTATTGATCAAAAAACCTTTTGAATGGTAGTGTTTGAATGGTGTATAAATGAACATGCACACACACACACAATAAGTTCACCTTGTGTACTTGCAACTTATATTCCTTTTAGAATAGTGAATGCCATATCTATTTTCAGGATAGTTATTATGAGTACTATTAGCATAATTCTATTATGTACTGTAATGTATCTCTGTTACTAATAGTGTAATGCTGATGAAATGCATTGGTGTTGTTCTGTATGTGCAGGTTCAGTATCTGTTCCGGGTCTTCTGCAGGTTGCGTCCGGGTATCTCCATACTTGCTTTGCATGGCAAACAGCAGCAGATGAAGAGGGTGGAGGTTTATAATGACTTTGTTCGCAAGACCTCAGCCGTCCTCTTTGCCACAGACATCGCTGCCAGAGGACTTGGTAATGGAAATGTATTCTGTGGACAAATGCACATATTGACTTTAAGTGACTGAAAATAGTGCTGTCAATTTAATGTTATTTGAGAACAAATCTCAGCAAATGTTTGTGAATATTTTATTAATGAAGCAGCAAGACCTGTAAATAATTCAGTTTGATTGACAGCCATAACTGAAACACATTTAATGGGCAAAAACGTAACCGTGCGTTTTTGTTTGTGGTCCTAGACTTCCCTGCAGTGAACTGGGTGCTGCAGTTTGACTGTCCTGAAGATGCAAACACATACATCCACAGAGTTGGCAGAACAGCCAGGTAACACTGCTGAACTGTTTTATTCTGTGTTCAGTGATGGTTAATTTTTCAAAAAGCATTGTAAATATCTTATCTGCACAAGAGTGTTTTATCTGTAACACTAGATGGCAGATTTGATCTGTTCCTCGTCACTTCCATGTATTTAATACATGTGGAAACAATGTTTACATTGGAATTCAATGTTCACTCTAAGCTGCGATGCCTCTTTTTCATATTATATTACATTATTATAAAGAATTGAACTGTTCTGAGTGAGATTTTTAATTGAATTTCTTGTTAACAGCACTATAAAAATGGTTTTCTCAGGTAAACTAAAATGGGCATCATTTAGCTGCCCCTTACAAAAATTAACCATGGTTTTATTGTAGTAAAAGTGTAGTAACCATGTTTGTTTTTTTTGGCGTATTGATTACGATTTGTATAACCACAGTTTACATGGTTAATCTATGGTTTGTGAAGCAAAACCATGGTTAATTTGTGGTTACCATGGTTTAACTATAGTAACCATGTTTTGTTTTTGTTTTTATTTGTTGTAAAACATGGTTAGTTTTTGTAAGCAAGGGTCAAATCAAATCTAAATAGCAGATTAAAGTTAAAAGTTACACATTTTTGTGTGTGCGCTGTACAGGTCTGGTATAAGAATGTTTTTGCTCAGGTGGATGAAATGTAGAGGGAACATTGATTGGAATTATGCTCTTACGTGTAATATTTAACCACTGTACAGATTTGTCTATTTACACTGGACACATGATAGATTAACAGCAGCTCAGCTATTGAGTTTTTCCGTTTTTGGACTATGGCTTGACTTGTTACATTCTCATCTTGAGGGCAAGTATTAGGCACTGGATAGCTACGGAAACATGCCAAGTTTCTGAGTGCTTAGAGCGAGACGGCACACACCTGCCTCTTTTCTTTGCGCTACATTTGTCTTTTTGGTGTGGAATCGATATTTTCTGTGACTCCCCTTCGTAGATTACCACCCTCTGCAGAAAGCTCACGAGCTTTAATATGAACACTCACAGAGCTGAGCATAAAAAAAAGAGAGAAACGTTTCTGTGAGAGGCCTGTATTGCAGCAGACCACCTAGTGTGACCTTAAAGGAATAGTTCACCTACAAATTTAAATTCTGACTTCATGCACTCACCGTCATGTCATTCTAATCCTGATTTCTAATTTTTAGTTTTTTTCTGAGTGAAGTATTCCTTGAACACACACATTCTCTCTTTCTCTTTCTCTGCAGGTATAAGGAGGGAGGCGAAGCTCTTCTTGTCCTATTGCCCTCGGAGGAGAACGGCATGATTGCACAGCTTCAAGAGAAAAGAGTTCCCATTAACAAAATCAAGTAAGTGCATCTCTCCTTTCCTGTGTGACTGCATACAGTCAGTTGTGCAGTGAAAATAAGATGAGCTTGGAAATAATGTGAAGCTTTGTCAGTGCTTTAGTGTGTGACGTGGCCTCTTTGGATGCTGGTTCATCAGTGTTTAGCAGAGATTGTATGCATGGGCTTTGTGAATAATGGAGGAAGCCACATGCATGCTGAGAATGAAAGATGGCAGCTTAATGCATGTGATCATGTGAGATCATTATGATCAGCGATAGCTGCTGTGAGAATGCAACTGCAGTCACAGTCTCCACAGGCCTGATTTTATGTTTGCAGTTATTCAATGTTACTGTATTCACAGAAATTTCCCAATTTAACCAGAATGCTCAGTTAATGTAGTTGCATTTGCAATTAATCAATTAAACATTGTAAATCATATAAAATATAATAATATAAAATATTTGGTACTTCTGTTTTTTTAAATAATTTATTTGTTTTATAACTTTTTTAAATATTATTTTGACTGTGTGTGTGTGTATGTGCTTTATTTTAAACCATTTCATTGTTAATAAACAGGTTTTTTTTAATTGTTAATCTTAAACAATCTAAAACTTAAAATTTTAATAAGCTCTTTATTTTTTACCATTTAACTTTTAGTGCTGTTAAATTGATTAATCATGATTAATCGCATCCAAAAAATTTGTTTACATAATATATGTGTATACTGTGTATATTTATGTATTTATAAATATACACACAAATACATTCTTATTTAAGAAATATTTACGTATATATATATATATTCATATTTATGTTATTTATATTAAATATAAATATATTATGCATGTATTTCTTAAATATATACAGTCTAAATATTTCACACATTATCACAGTTTATTCGCTATAGTTTAGAAAATGATAATAAAATATGACAAGAACTCTGAGTTGAACTGTGTCAGAACAAATTCATCTTGATAATGTCAGATAACACTTAAGCAAAACATGGTCAGGTCAAAGTGTCTGAATAATTGTTGGTCCCAAATGTTTATCAATTTTACTGGTAGCCCACTGTATGAAGAATTTTTGGGCATGTCACAGTTTACTTTATTTTGCTATCCTCACGTACATAAATGAGCTATAGTGTCCTGCACTCACTAGTAAAAAAATATAAAAAATGATATCTGGTGTCTGAATAATTTTTGGTTTGACTGTACATGTATATACTGTACATGTACGTACAGTTATATATACATATAAATATACACAGTACACGCATATATTATGTAAACACAAACTTTTATTTTGAATGTGATTAATCGATTTGACAGCACTATTAAGTTTTCACCTAATCACAAATACATTGGACCCTGTTTACACCAGCACTGACCACTTGACAGATGTTAATACCAGGTGTAAACAAGGCCATTGATTTAATCATTTGCATTCATTTGTTCACAGGGTGAACCCAGAGAAGTTGGTGTGTGTCCAGCAGAAGTTGGACGCCTTCCTTGCACAGGAGAAAGAGCAGAAGGAACGAGCACAGAGGGTAAGGCCCGAGGTGACCTGACTTCCTGTGCATTCTGTCACACCTCGTCACAAACACTAAAGGTTGATTTTATATTGTAGAGCAGAGCCATGCTTTTAGGATAATCTGATTGTCTGCCTCACGCTCAGAGCTGAGCTTTGTGAGTCTCATTATATAGAGAAGAACTGCATGAAATGTAATCGGCCAAATTGCTCCATGAAACGTCTGCTTGTGCACTCTCACTAATGTGTTTATCAGGGATAAGTTTTCAGATATTATCCTCCGTAATGCCTCTTCTCTTTTTTTCCCCCTCCTCTCAACGGCAGTGTTTTGTGTCCTACCTCCGCTCAGTCTATCTGATGAAGAACAAAGACGTGTTTGATGTTTTCCAGCTCAAACTCCCAGAATATGCTATGTGAGTGGATGCTATGATGTAATGCCCAGTACCAGCAGTCCTCTGTGGAAATGTGTATGTGTGTGTGGCTTCAAATGATGTGTCATTGTTATGCAATTATATCTTCCAAAAAGAAACCATCACCATCTGTTTTGAAAACAGTGACTGTTTAATACATATTTTAAAAATTCATAACTCATTATAGTCTAGTGGTTATTGTCCATATTCTCGGCTCCCCATATCCAGTCTGAAACTGTCTTCAGTTTATTTATAAAATATGTCAAAAAAGGGTTTTTTAACCCTTTTTTTAATAAAATTCTCTTTATAAACGTGGCAAAAAGAACTAAAATGGGTTTTTAAAAAATGCATTTGATCATTTAAGCTGTATGATCGCATCACTGTCAGGTCGCTGGGTTTGGCGGTGGCCCCTCGGGTCCGTTTCCTCAACAAGGCCCAGCAACAAAAGAGTGGAGTGGCGCAGGATGACAGTGGTGCTGCAGGACGCGTGTCTGAAGATGAGCTGAAGAGTTTTAAAGCCCAACTCAAAGGAGAGTGTTCTAAGTCTCAGTCCTCACAGTCTGAGGAAGAAGAAGAAGAGGATGATGATGATGAGGAGAAGGAGTCATTAAAGCCTGCAGCTCTGCTATGTGGCTTTAATGAAGAGGATGAAGACGACCAGAAAGATCTGGACCTACTGACTGTCAAGCGTAAAGATGTGTTCAATATCAATGAAGAGAGCCAGGATGATGAGGTATATAAACAACACACATCTGATGTAATTACAGTTATCGCACATTTTTGATTGGCTGCGCTTTGTGAACACAGGAATTATTAGCAGATAAAGGGTCCCAATTCAATATAAATGGTTGCCTAAGTTAATTTCATGGCTGTATGTTTGATTTTATGCACCTGCTAGTAATAAGTGGGACTGAAATAGCCCAAACTATACAAACTGCATACTTTTGGCTGTATAACAGAATACTAGTCACATTTTGCCATGCAGAAACAGGACGTTCCTGAATACTGATCATTTTCATCTATTTTAACATAATGCAGGACTTTAATTAAAAATACAGAATCACAAATAATCTATAAAAAGGTTTGAATACAAATTATACACTTCAGTTTTGTCCTCAACTTGAAACATGGAAAATAATGAATGCAGCTTATCTTTGTACCTGTAGGAAAAATGTGTCCTAATGTGTTTTTCACAAACATCTTGAATCTTCCTCTTAACATCTCTGCTGTTGTGACCCATTGCACTGTGATTCAGAAGGGCTTCTATTCGAGTTCTGTGCACTTTGCATTCAAAGCGCATTATTTTAATTGGCCTGCAGATATGAAGACATGTTAAATTATGTAACACTCCTCTCAATATGCCTTTGAGACACAGTTAACATGACTCCTGTGCAAACATGGCAATTTTATGAGAGACGCAGACCTGTGAGTCATGTCACAATTGCCTGATTTGCCTTGAGGCTCTACAATCAAATACTGCAGTATAGTCAGATATATAATTTCAAAATTTTCCATTCAGCTACTTTGCCAAAATAAGAGCTGTCATTTGTGTTAATATAATGCTATATTTTATTGTTATTATTAAAAATGATTAATTAAACATTTACTATTATTAGTAGTATTTTAAAGGATAATGATTCTTTAAATTGACCAAACGGGACAGCGAAGACATAAAAATAAAAAAAAATCCGCTTTTATAGTTACATCTGGTTATGTAAGATATACGTTTTCTCTTTCTTTAGGACACAGATGCTAAGGCCGAGAATAAGAAACAAAAGGAATCCAAATTCACAGATGCAAAGAAAATGCAGAAAAGAAACTTCAAGGTCAACACTAAGAAGATCTTCACTGAGGATGGCAAGGTTTGTATTATCAGAAACACATTACTGAGAGTCATAAAAAGCAGTGTAAATGAACTGTGGTGTATGTGTGCAGGTGGTGCAGCAGTGGCCTCCATTGCAGCGGGCTGTGGTACCAGATGAAGAGGAGGACGAGGAGACATCTGGCATTAACATGGAAGCAGCCAAAGAGCGGCTCCGCAAAGAAGACCAGGAGTTCGACAAGATCGAGTATCGTCGTAAAATCAAGGAGAAACATAGGGTGAGATTGACTGTACCATCATATTTTCTATCCTCCTGGTTCATTTCAAGTCCATGTAGCTCCTCCTTGAATCAGAAGGCTTCTTTGAATCACTATTTATTGTGTTCAGCTAAGTAATATTGAAGGAGCTGAGGGCAATCGAAAAGACACTCTGGCCCTGTGGCTGGTGCTCTCGCAGGTTCGGGCAAATCGAAATAACTGAGATGCCTGTGCAGGCAGCGTGGCTTGAAGCTCCAGGCATCAGTGCTGAGATTGGGCCTCTGACTTATTACTGTAGTTCTGAGTATTGGACAAGCTTTTAATGGATTGCTCTCCAGCAAAATCACACTATTTGCGTCATTCCAGCACAGAGTGCTTTCTCGTTAAAGGTCAAGTATGGCGAAGTGCATCCCTAGTTTATGTCTGATGCAGTTTTCAGTTTATTTGTTTTTTTGAAATCGATCACTGGGCGTGTGTAGCTCAGTGAGAAAGCACAGAAGTAATGGGATCTATTTCTATAACTGGACACAGGGCAGATAAGCACCGTGACCCTTCTTCATTCCAGTTAAAAACCAAAAAGTTTGAGAAAGATTTTTGCTTTTTTCCACTTTTTTGTATAATGATAGTCTACAGGAAGGGCAGAAATTGATTGGAAGAAGATTTGAACTTGCAGCATGCTCACATGAACACAATGGCTTAATATGTGTGCTAACCATTTGACCAGGTTTTTCCAAACTGTAATTAAATCATAAAAATAATAATTAAATAAAAATAAATAATTAATTAAATATGAAGTAAAACATTTTTTTAAATCCAAATAAAATGCTGACTCAAAATATTAAATGTTTTACAAACAATTAATTAATCATGAAAATGTAAAATGAAAGTAAATCATTTTCAAAATCTCAAAATATAACACTTACTAAAAATAAAAAAAATACATATTTTATTTGTGTACCTGCATTTCATGTGACTATTATTAACCTACATCAGAGAATCGTGAACATGCAGATGTGTTGTTAATTTATCCAAATAATAACTTCAAATTTCAGGGGTACTTCAAGCAAATATGTGACCCTGGACCACAAAACCAGTCATAATCAGGGGTCAATAGGGTCAATTTTTCAAAATTGAGATTTATACATAATCTGAATATATCTAAAATTTGGTTTGTTATGATAAGACAACATTTGGCCGAGATACAACTATTTAAAAATATGGAATCTGAGGGTGCAAAAAAATCAAAATATTGAGAAAATTGCCTTGAAAGTTGTCCAAATGAAGTTCTTAGCAATGCATATTACAAATCAAAAATTAAGTTTTTATATACTTACGGTAGGAAATTTACAAAATATCTTCATGGAACATGATCTTTACTTAATATCTTAATGATTTTTGGCATAAAAAGAAAAACCGATCATTTTGACCCAAACAATGTATTTTTGGCTATTGCTACAAATATACCCCAGCGACTTATGACTGGTTTTGTGGTCCAGTGTCATATTTTATGTCATAAAGCTTTGACTGATAACAAAGTTTGGCAATCCCTGCACTATGTCATGGCTTGATTTTTACCAAGCATTTAATCAGATGAGTTGTCCATTGAAAAACAAATATTAAGGTCAATGTAAAATCATATGCAGCACCATTTATTTTTGTTGCCGCATGGTATTTACATTTACATTTAGTTATTTAGCAGACGATCCAAAGCGACTTACAAATGAGGAAAATGGAAGCAATCAAAATCAACAAAAGAGCAATGATATACAAGTGCTATAACAAGTCTCAGTTAGCTTAACGGAGTACACATAGCAAGGTTTTTTTTAAATTATATAATAAATAATAATAATTCATTACATTTATATAGCGCTTTTCTAGGCACTCAAAGCGCTTTAGATTGTTAGGGGTATCGCCTCGTCCACCACCAGTGTGCAGCATCCACCTAGTTGATGCGACGGGTGCGCCAGTGCGCCAGAACGCCCACCACAGACCAGCTTATTGGTGGAGAGGAGACAGAGTGATGAAGCCAATCAGTAAATATTAGAATATTAGAATTGTTAGGAGGCCATGATGATCAGAGGCCAATTGGCAAATTTGGCCAGGATGCCGAGGTCACACCTCTACTCTTTTCGAAAGACATCCTGGGATTTTTAATGACCACAGAGAGTCAGGACTTCGGTTTAACGTCTCATCCGAAAGACGGAAATTTTATTTTCAATGATTAAAGACATTGTTTTACATAATCTTTGAAACAATGTTCCTGTTCTTCTGACATCACTTACACTTACACATGTTATATGATAATGTTCCCCAATAGCCAACAGCTATTTAGCCTATGTTTTGGCAAACTCTCATTCAAGTCAGGCTCTATTCTAGTATAACGGCCACTTTTTCCCAATCAGTACAATCACCATTTTTTATCTAATTGAATAATCGATTTTGCTCAGAAATACATTCAATTGTGGAATTAAATTGTGTTACACACTTAATTCTCGTTGATTTTAAAGAGCTACCAATCTGAATATTTGGACCTGGTTTTAACAATTTTTTGTAAACAGAGAAGATGTTGTCCATGATAACCCAGCATAGTACATTTTATATCTTTCACTTCTCAGCCAAGCTAAAATTAAAATAAAAACACGCTTGTGCCAGTCTCACCTGCCAATTTCTCCTGCCTCTGCTGTAAAGTGCTGACATGCAAACTGGCATACAGTAAAAACAATTTTTTCCCTTTTTTCTCTAAAAGTCAGAAGACATTGTCTTGTGTCTGTGAACATTCCTGTGAAAAGTCTAACCATCCTAATCTATTTTGATTTTGTATTTTGTGCTGTCAGAGACTTTGAGAGGCCGCTACCCAGTAATCCATCAGATACGGGCACATGCTCATTAATCAGACACACTAGGCTTGCTGGTGCCTTTGTTTCATATTCTCTCATGGCGTCTTTATTACTCCAGCAGAACAGCATTTATAGCTGAACCCTGAGAGTTACAGAGACTAGCATCATTCATAGGCTTTTTTTCTGTTCCTTTAAAACTGCTGATGGATTTTGCTGCATATGTGACGTGTGCCAAGTCAGCAACTCTGTGTGATCAAGAAGTGTCAGAAAAGTTTAACTTTAAGAGTACACTTAGACCTTAGACCTCCTAAGCTATGAATATCAAACTGCATTTTTTTAAATGAGAAAGTAGTTTATACAGTACCACCGTGTTCTTGCGGATCTGTGGGAGGATAATAACCTATTTATAGAGTTTTTAGATGGAAGAGTGTTCCTGGCTTTCTCAAATGTGCTCTGGTCAAGATCACACTTAAACTTTATTAATTATAACTTTTTTTATTCATTAAAGAATTGAAGAAACTGTTATAGTTAACTAAAACTAAAAGCAAAAAAATAAAAATAAAAGAAATGTCACTTGAAACTAAAATAACACTGGAAGAAACACCTGAAATATTTCTAAATAAATGACCACTTTTGCATTTTATAAGAGCACCCAGGGACAGCCATGGCAAAAATTGTGATATCTGCTCAAACCAGTAGTGAAGTTATTTGAAATGAAGTATTTTGATAAAAGAGATCTCCGTCTAATAAACTCCATCTTAAAAAACTTTTATAAGTTTATATGTTTTACGCAATATATTAAGAAATATTTAATGGCAACCCACCACTGTCACTGACTTTGATTTTGTGGCACTGATATTTGTGCAATGATGTATCCAAGTGAACCCATGGATACGTTTTCACATTTAGCGTCATTTGACATTTCGAAAGTAATGAAAAGCCAATGAAATGCATTTGACATTGCTTTCATTACACTCTTAGCACTCTGATTTCCATTCAACCCTCAACCTCTTAATATTTCCTGTCTCCCAGACATCTATGAGTCACTAGTAATGTGTATAGTTGTGTCTGGCAGTCCAGTCGCCCTTCATATTGGAAAGTGACACAAGATAAACATCAAGTCCTATTTGTTCTCTCTCCAAAAGAAATGCAGAGCACTGAAGTTAAATTGTGCTTTCTTTTCCCTGAGTCTGTGTAATCATTTCAACCCCTGGTTGTTTGACATGTTTATGAGATTGTGCCATGACCAAATCTGAGTACCTGAGCACCTATTTATTAAGTTGTTTCTTTTTTTCTCTCGTTTTCAACAGGAGAAAAGACTGAAGGAGAAAGCAGCTCGAAGGGAAGCGAGCAAACAGCATAAAGAGGTACGTCAACCTTTAGCTCAAAGTCATCTCGAAAGCTCTAACTAGCTGGATGTTAATGATGAGAGCCGGTAATGTATGTGAGTTAAAGCATCAGTACATTTCGAGGATTTGAAAGATCCATAAAATGGTTTATGATTTGAAATGAGGAATTCCTGTCACAGGAAGTCAGAGGGGAGAGATGCCCCTCAGTCTCTGGCCTTTCCGTCCCATAGATAACGCATAATTCACAGGATGGCAGCTGTCATGTGTCCCATCTCTCTCTGCCTGTCCTCGCTGGGGGATCGAGCTCTGCGCATCCATATGGAAATGCAGCTGCTGCTCTCCTCTCGTTTGTCATATGATCAATGCAGCGGTCTGTCCAAGAAAGCGTGACTATTCATCACTACCCTAACAATGAACCTCAGCGCTCTTTTAGCATTCGCTCATTCCTTCGACTTAACAGCCAGACTGGTGGTTGATCTGTCCATCATTACATGTGGTCCAGATTCATTTAGAGACCTTTTGAATCGCCCTTTTGACAGCATATGCTGCAACAGATAGCAGTGCAGCTTAATTTCCTGTCAGTTTCACTTCTTTTGGTGCTTCTCTTGAGACGTTTGAGGAAATAGATGGACCCTTCAGAGTCTTGTTGCTCAATCGGTGGCAGTCATTACAGAGATACTTGTTAATATAATACAGTTTAAACGGTGAAATATTATTACAGTTTAAAAATAACTGCTTTCTCTTTTAAAGGGGCAAACACATTTCATTACACCAAATACACAAAATAATGTTCTTTTTTAGCAACATCATATGACCCCTTTAATATATTGTAAAGTGATCTTGGTGTCATGTTTTACAATAAAAGATAATTGTTGTGCTTATATCTATACACTTTTCACTTTTTAAGACTAAAATCAAAGGCATGAAAAATTTATACATTGTTATTCTTAATGAAAAGCACAACAACAATAAAGCTATTAGGCTACAATGACAAACTAGCTTACATAATGTTTATTAACAAAAACTAATAAGATGAGGCATGGCGTACACCACATGCTGCATTATATATCAACTAATAAATTACAGAAAGTTTAGCAAACACTGTAGAATACTTTTACGTTTCGCTTGAAAAGCAAATCCTCCATCTGACATAGCTTCCTCAGTATTCACGTCATTTTTGCCATGCGCACCTTTGCGCTCTTGGTCCATCGGCGATTCACTTGAAGCACTCGTACTGAAAGTGCCTCTCTCAGTCTCTTCACGTGATCAGTAAAATATGACTCTTAATGCACTGTGCCGCTGTGGCTCTGCGGCGCATGCTGTATGGAGCAGAGCAGACGCTTTGGAGCAGAGGAGACTATGCACTCGCACAAATGCAACCACGTCAAATTTTAAATCACACATTCTCAAAAAATGGTCGCAGTCTAGAGCCCTGTTCCAGAGTCTTTCATACTGACCCCCGTTTATGGCTGTTCTCGTCCTCTGGCGTTATTCAGTGCACATTGACGCATCTGTTCAAAGCGCAGGTCTGTCAGCAGAATTAAAATGGGTCTCACAAAGCAGGATTAGATTACAGCACAGGCAGAAGCACCGCTGAATACAGAACATCCTGTACCTGAACAGACCCCATATCAGGTCTGAGCGCAGATATACACGGTCCCCCCAACCAAATCTTTGACAGCAAAAGGCTGTTTTACACTAGATTATTCAGGCCAAGTACCGCCCACTTAGACATGAATTTGACCAGTAAAGTGACCAAGCACAGTTCATTTTATATGATTTTCATTTTGTTGCTTTATCTGAAATCGATTATACCACAATATTAGCCTGGCACAGACAATTCAGCCTCTTCCAATGTCGGCAGTCTGTTTAGATGTGCATAGTATTGTAGACCTGTGAATTTACACAGTGTGGATGTAGGTTTATGGTGTTTTGTGTAAGAAACAAGGTAGAAAACCGTTTGGCCACAGGTATTTGTTTTTCTTCGTCTTAAACCAAAGAAGAAAAGGTCAGAACACGGGGTCAGGCCGCACCCCACAGACCGTACCAGGATTAAGAAGCTTCCCTGAGGGCACAGCAAGTCAGTCTGGAGGTGGAGCAGACCAGTGGGAAAACTAAGCTGGTTGTGACCGGCCCAAGGTCTGAGTTGTTAGGTTTTTGAAACTTTTAATGAACAAAGACAGGGCTGGAATCGATTATTTCACCACTGTCGCTGGAGGAAAAGGACACTTTTTGGTTGTAAATGATCAAAGTGTACATTTACTCATTTTACGTACATTTAATAGTACTTAGAGAGATTTATCTATTAGCATTCTCAATGGCAGTTGCTCTGCTTTTGCAGAACCCCTTCGGATGCTCAATTTTGTTATTTAAAGTTCAGTTAATACAGGTGTGAAAAAATTTACAAAATTTGTACGTTTCAGGATACAGCTTGTCACTCGGGCTGTACCTTCAAAAGAACATCTTTGCACTTTATTTGCCCCTAAAGACATAAGACATAAAAGTACCTTAAGATTACACATTTTACAAGATTACTACTCTAAGGTACTAATATGCAACTTTCATGGGTAGATATGGTATAAGTTACTACGTCTTCAAAATTGAAATGATAGTCCACTTAAAAATTGACTTTTTTCATCATTCATCAGTCATCATTTACTCACCCACATGTCGTTCCAAACCTGTATCACTTTATTTTCTCTGTGGAACATAAAAGAAGATATCTTTCTGCACAATTGTTGATTTATAGGGGAGTAGGCAGTCTTCCTGAATGACTGCCTACTCAAGGGCTGGAATCGATTATTTCACCACTGTCGCTGGAGGAAAAGGACGCTTTTTGGTTGTAAATGATCAAAGTGTACATTTACTCATTTTACGTACATTTAATAGTACTTAGAGAGATTTATCTATTAGCATTCTCAATGGCAGTTGCTCTGCTTTTGCAGAACCGCTTCGGATGCTCAATTTTGTTATTTAAAGTTCAGTTAATACAGGTGTGAAAAAATGTACAAAATTTGTACGTTTCAGGATACAGCTTGTCACTCGGGCTGTACCTTCAAAAGAACATCCTTGCACTTTATTTGCCCCTAAAGGCATAAGACATAGAAGTACCTTAAGATTACACATTTTACAAGATTACTACTCTAAGGTACTAATATGCAACTTTCATGGGTAGATATGGTATAAGTTACTACGTCTTCAAAATTGAAATGATAGTCCACTTAAAAATTGACTTTGTCATCATTTACTCACCCACATGTCGTTCCAAACCTGTATCACTTTATTTTCTCTGTGGAACATAAAAGAAGATATCTTGAAGAATGTTGGTAACCAAACAGTTTTGGTTCTCATTGTCTTCCATGTATAAAAAATACAATGAAAGTCATTAGTAATCTAAACTGATTTTTTAACATTGTTCAAAATATTTTTTTGTGTTCACAGAAAAATTAAAAAAAGGAATCATATTAGGAAACTGCCCCAGCTAGTTTTTTTCTGACCATACTCAACTGCATTCTTTTTTTGGGAGTTTTTTTATTTTTTTTTGCACAATTGTTGATATATAGGGGAGTAGGCAGTCTTCCTGAATGACTGCCTACTCCTATATAAATCAACCATTGCTTACAATATGCTCACCTGAAACAGATGGGATGACAAAATATTTCGGACCCCAGATACATCTGTATTTAGCAACGACCACTGAGATGGCATCACAGGCGTAAACAGACTAGATCAACAGGGTTAATGGAGAAAGAAAATATTAATTGCAAAAGGTGCCATCGTATAAGATATCAGATAATCAGTATTAATGATGCATAAGTACAGTATGTAATTTAAGTCTTGCTTCTGTCACACAGGAGAAAAAGAAAGCTGATGATGATGACGATGACGATATTGATGATGATGAGGAGGAGGTGGTTGCATATCTGTCAGGTGCCGATAAAGAATTTGACCCCAGCACACTTCCTGACCCCGACAAAGTGTGCAACTCTGAGTCCTCCGAGGAGGAAGAAGGGTAAGAATAAAGCTTTTGTAAACAACATGAACGACTTCCATCACTTTCAAAGGTCGTGCAGCAATTTCATCTCTCAAACCTCTGATTCATCTCAATGAATACTGATTGGGTTTTTCATTAAAAGCTAGGAGCATTAAAAAGGCATAGGACATGGCCTAAAGGATATTGATCCTCTAAAATACAAAGTTTCTAATTATGCACAGCTTCAAATTGAATGCCTATATTTGAGCGTTGAACCAAATATCATATTTTCCCCTTATCAGTGCATTGTGGAGGTATGCAGGCCTTTGTGTTAGTGGAAAACCATTACACCAGTAAATCAAGCCAATCAGTCCGACACCACATCACGAGGCCATAATTATTCCGAAATGAGGAATTGATTCTTCTGATACTTAATTACCACCTCGGCTTTCTCAGCTCTCTCTGCTTGCATTGAGTTTGTTGCGTTCGATTAGGCTCAGGCATGCTGATCCGGTGTTCTTTTTGTACTGAGGTCCGCTGCAGAATTGCCTCACGGAGGAGGAATCCCTCTACAGGGAAAATGATTCATGATGATTCATTTTCCCCATGGCAGCATTAAGCACAGATCCTTTAGCTGGCTGAAGATAATCTATAAAATGCATAACTACGTCTAGATTTAAAGTGAGAGGCAGGACCATACGTTATGCGTTGGTTTTTTTCCCTCTCTCTCACACCCTCACCCTCTCTTTCTCACACTTGCTTTTCGTCTTTCATCCAGTCCTCTATTGCAAAACCCAGTCATGTCCTTTGTTCTCATTCGCCGTTGGTCTTTCCATCTGTCAGCCCGCACCTTTATGTCTCTGTTTTTCTGTCATTCATCCATGTACGCACATTAAGGACGCTCACTGACACACACACAAACACTTTGGGTGTAGCAGTGCAGGTGATATGGCATAGACAGCAGCAGCGGCTCTGATTAATGACTTAGTGCGGTGTGTTTACTGCATGGCTACACTTACTGAATGCAGGAGAGGCTCCGGCGCTGTAAATCTCTCTTTCTTCCTCTTCCTTTGGCTCACTCGCCCATTTTCTCTTCCGTCATATCGGAGGCTGGTGTTCTGGACTGGAGCCAAAGGCATCGCTAACACTGAGCTCTTTCCTGTTGCGGTACATGTCTTCCTGCTTTGCTGTCTAGACAGATACCCCCCTCCCATAAATCTAATGGGATGTTATTGGCCCTGCCTCACCTCTGCCCCTGCCAGCGCTTTGTGTCCAGAATAGCAAGATGCTGTACAAATCTTTGGAAATATTCCTTAAAGGGAGAGTGTAGTTGCAATGAATGCTGAGTTACAGTCAAATGAAGGAGTGGTCCATTTGTGAAGGTTCGTGAGAAGGTATTAGTGTTTGTGAATGTTGAATCTTTTCAGTGAATCAGTCGATCCAGTCAAAAACATTTCTGAATTATTCATTTACGACTCTCTTCTCAATGATTCATTCTTAAGTTTAACAGACTCCGTGATCCCGTCGCAGCAGTTAACAAATCATAGGGGGGATCCAACAACTAGGGCGGCATGATTCATTGAAATGAAAACTGATATTGCAATATATATATATATTAGTAGGGCTGTGTATCACCAGCAAAGTCACGATACGATACGTATCACGATACAGAGGCCACGATACGATACGTATCACGATACATGACTGCACTGAATTTCACCTCAGCAGAATTTAGAAAAACAGCTGTTTATTAAACACTGCTTACTATAGTGCCATTTCTAACTATTGGCAGAGCAGGCAGCTGACCTCGGCATTATGAAGGGCCTCCATAACTGTACCACAGTACAATATAGGTAATGGCATATGTTTCATGTTTACATTGTGCACTCCCCACCAGGTACAATATTCTGATTGTTTGCATCTTGTTTTTAAGCCCATAAATAATAATGTACTTGTTCTAATAAATTTATATTGTAATGTACTCATTCTAATATGTTAAAAAAATTATTTACATTGCTGGTAGGTTATCATTGCACAAATTAACACTCTCTCTACAATAAAAAAAAAAAATTAGAAGAGTTCTAAACTAACGCGCTGAATTTAATGCATCTAACTCACTGTATTTAACGCGCACACTCTCAAGGCTGATTTATGGCTGATTTATACTCGACGCATCCGCAAATTCGCTTTGAGTGCGCACGATGTCGTTTCGCGTGGCGGTGTGCACAAAATACAGCCACTGTTTAACATGGATATCCTGGGTCATTCCTGTTACACAGTACACAATGAGTTTTTTAAAAATGTAAAGTTTAAAGACATATTTCTATAAAAGGGTAAACCAGTCTTTCAGAAATATGTGCTGGTTTTGTGCTCAAGTTTACATACTTAAACAATTATAAGTAATGAGATGTAACAGGATGGAAATAAAAATCTAAAGCTAGCCATCGCTTTTAGGGAAGGATTGAGTTAAATTTTTCTTAAGATAATATTCAATATTCAGAAATTGTTTATATACAATTTCATTTTTACAGTGAGTGAGTGACGTGACATGTGGCCAAGTATGGTGACCCATACTCGGAATTAGTGCTCTGCATTTATCTCATCCAAAGTGCGCACACACACACCGTGAACACACACCCGGAGCAGTGGGCAGCCATTTTTTTGCTGTGGCGCCCGGGGAGCAGTCGGGGGTCCAGTGCCTCGCTCAAGGGCACCTCAGTCGTGAATTCTACTTTCTAATTTCTATTAAACTATTACTGTTTTACTATATTTTCAGTCAAATAAATTCAGCCTTGATGAGACTTATTTCAAATTCATTAGGCTAACATACTTGTACTAAAAGCAAAGAAACTTTCCTTTTGATTTCATGTCGACTTAAATTGACACTTTTAATGCACATTTAATTGTGCTATGCAGTATACTGGACATACATGATGGAGGCATGAAAGGGAATGGCTCTTTTCACAGTGGACTTGTTTTTAATCTCTCTGTGTAGTTTGGAGATTACTTGTTTATTCGTCTTTGATTCTTATCACTTATCACATTTACCGAACAACTGCAGGCAGGCAGTACTCGTAGTGTTGTGGTGAATGAGACAGGCATGCACCTTGATGTATTGTGTTTGTGTATGACTGTGTTGTGTAGATTCTCTTTGTGTTCTGGGTTTGTGGGTGCAGAGTCATCCATCACAGATGTGGGTTTATTAGGCACCTTCATCCTGCTTGGAAAGCTATTTCCCTTGGTGCTATTTCTCCCCTCTAATGACTGTTTCAGCACTGAGGAGTGTGTAGCCCGTCAGTCGTTTCTCTGTTGCATTGTGCACCCAGAGCTTAATGTACCTGTATGTTAATGATTATACAAATTCAGATTGCAGCTATTATTTTACTTAAAAAAGAAGGATTGTTAAAGAAATTGCTTACCTCAAAATTAAAAATACCCATTATTTACTCTCACATCATTCTGAACTTTTGTGCCTTTTTTCTTTGGAAGTTTAGCAGTTCTTCTCCATGCAATAAAAATGGGTGAAGACCAAAAAAAAAGACAAAAAGCACCATTAAAATTACATTAAAAGGTGTATGGGCTACCATAATGGTAGTCCATACATCTTGAGCACTATATTACATGAAAAAGAGCTCAATAGTTAAGTCATTATTCACTTAAAATGTTGCTTTGAAAAAGCCATGATAACCTTCACATTCATTGTATAGAAGAGACAAGCTCGGACAGTCTGCTATAAATATCTTCTTGTATGTTCCACAGAAGAAAGGAATATCACTTGACAACCAATAGATCCTCTGCAGTGAATGGGTGCCGTCAGAATGAGATTTCGAACAGCTGATAAAAACATCACAATAGTCCACAAGTAATCCACACGACTCCAGTCCATCAGTTAATGTCTTGTGAAGTGAAAATCTGTGTATTTGTAAGAAACAAATCCTTCAAGGTATTATAACTTTAAACTGTCGCTTCTAGCCAAAAAACGAGTTGGAAAAGTTATTTTTTTTCACTGAAGAAAGCAATATTATGGATAGATGTTTTAATGCTTCACAGGATGTTAATTGATGGAATGGAGTCATGTGGATGATGTTTTTATCAGCCGTTTGAACTCTCATTCTGACGGCACCCATTCAAAGCAGAGGATCCATTGGTGAGCAAGTGATGTAATGCTAAATTTCTACAAATCTGTTCTGATGAAGAAACAAACACATCTCTTTGATGGTCTGAAAGAGAGTACGTTTTCACCAAATTTTCATTTTTGGGGAAACTATTCCTTTAAGGCTAATGGAAGCAGATTTGATGGGTAGTATTTTATGGGCATCTCCGTACACCCCAAAGATGAAACCGCAAAGTGGTTGAAGCATTTGATAGCAACTCTTCATATGCTGTAGTTTGTAACATTGTAGAACACTGAAAATGATGTTCCACAACCTGGAGGTAATGAGATGCCCAAAGTGCTGTTTATCTCTTATGCTCCCTGGATCATAGCGTTCTATTTCCCCATGGTGACAGTATTTTTGTAAATTATGAGGATTATGTGAATTAAATTGCCCATTTTTTACTTAGAATGTATATTGTGGCTAGGGTGAATGGGTTCACATGTAATTATAGTGTAGTGGAAGGTCTTTGCCAAGTGGTTAAATTGCTTATTGGCTCTTGGTCCAGGTGAAAATAAGGCAATTTAGCTCTAGTTTCAAGATGTGTTTATAGCTGTCTGACCTGTAAAGTGACGGGGGACGGGGCACTAGAGATGAAATGCCTGACAGTCACAGGACCATTTTGGGCTTAAGGGTCAGCATCTTTACCCTCTTTGAGGTTACAGATTATAAAAACAATTTTTAGAAGTTTCTTCCTGTGTGAAAATAGTATCAAAGAAGAAACCCAGTGTGGACCGAGAAGAGCCTGAGGTACATATTAGATTCCATTGAATGGACATCAGCATATGTCTGTTCATAATACTGCTTTCTCTAGTGAAGATGTTGTCTTGTCTGAATCAGGAGAGTAATATGCACAGATCAAGCACTGTTTACAAGCAAACGCAGTTCTAAATTAATATATTGGGGGATTTTTATGTA